CTTGTTTTACGGGAAGGGGGAGGGAAATCGAGATGCACCCCAGGGCTATGCGCAGGAGACACCCCGACCAGGCTGCCCTGCGCAGCAGCTCTGCCCCTCGCCCCTCGGGGTGCAGTCACCGTGGGTGTGGGTGCCGAGCCCCTGCTGCCTGTCGGCTGGGGGTTTGTGTCCGGCGGCCCGTGGGCCGTGGGCGGGTCAGTGCCTCACCCCTGCCAGGGGCCCCGGCCTTGGGGTCTCCCCCAGGGAGCCCGGTCTCTGTTTCCAGAGCTGTCCCTTCTGCAATAGCTTAAAAAATAAATGAATGTGAGGGGCACCTGGGGGGCGCCTTTGGCTCAGGGCGTGACCCCGGGGTCCCGGGATCGAGCCCCACGTCAGGCTCCCTGCAGGGAGCCTGCTTCTCCTCCGCCTGTGTCTCTGCCTCTCTCTCTGCGTCTCTCATGAATAAATAAATAAAGCCTTTAAAAAAAAAATGAATGTGAATGCGAATGAGCCAGCATATGGACGGAAGACGGGGCGAGGACAGCCCTGCCCGCGGGGACCAGCGTGGCTGGAGCCCAGGTGGGCTGAAGGGCAGCCAGGTGGACGGTCGCGCAGAGCACTGCGGTGGCAGGTCTGAGGGGCGCTCGGCGCCCGGCGTCCTCCTGACCCTCCTCCCCCCACCCCCAGACCTGCTCCTTCCACACACAGCTGAGAAGGGCTCCCAGTCCCACTCTGCAGGGACGTGGGGCCAGAGGGGCCGAGGGACCGCGTGTGTGCTGCATTTCCAGAAAGTTCTTCCCAAGTGCAGAGCGATATGTGAACCTGGAGATTCGCTGTGGTTCTATCAGTTTTCTCATTGCTTAGCGAGGAGTCGGGGGCTGATGTTGAAGGTGCTCGGCTCCCGCAGAAGCTACTGGGCTCACCCCCTCTGCCCGCGCTGTGCCTGCCACCAACCCGAGACACGGCCTGGGTCAAATCAGCCTGGGGGTGGCACAAAGTGTCCTTCTCAGCATAGCCATCCCATGGGGGGTGGCACAGGCCGAGGTCTCCAGGCCTGGACCTCACTGTGGTCAGGGGGGCATGGCGCTGGGGAGCAGCCCAGGGTGGCCCAGGGCGGCCCGGTGTGGCCTAGAGTGACCCAATGTGACTCACAGTGACCCATGGTGGTCTAGAGTAGCCCAATGAGACCCAATGTGACCCAGGGTGGCTCAGTGTGGTCTAGAGTAGCCCAATGTGACCCAAGGTGGCCTAGGGTGTCTCAGTGTAGTCTAGAGTAGCCCAATGAGACCCAATGTGACCCAGGGTGGCTCAGTGTGGTCTAGAGTAGCCCAATGTGACCCAATGTGACCCAGGGTGGCTCAGTGTGGTCTAGAGTAGCCCAATGTGACCCAGTGTGACCCAAGGTGGCCCAGTGTGGCCCAACGTGGCCCAGCATGGTCTAGAGTAGCCCAATGTGGCCCGAGGTAGCCCTGGCTCAGAGGTCACCTCTCCTGCCGGCTTGGGGCACCATCAGTGCATGCCTTGGCCTTGGGCCTGGTGGGTGTCCTGGGGCCCCCCTCCAGCCCACTGAGGTGAAGCCCCCACCAATGTCCAGTGCCACACCAAGCTCTTCCCAGCATCTTCGTCTCATTCACCCCCAAGGGCCTTCACTGTCATTGCCACTTTATGCAGGAAGAAACGGGGTTCAGAGCTCCTGGTATGCAGCAGGGGGCACAGCCAGGCTCCACACCCACGGGGTCTATAGTGGCCCGGGGGCCACTGTCCGCTTCCAGGCTTTGCCGCCTGTGTCAGAAACCCTGCATCGGGGGACACGCTGGATGGTGCAGGACCGCTCGTTCTGAGACCAGACTGAGTGTGGAAGCGCTGACCAAGAGCGTCAGGCCCGCTCAGATGACACCCGTCCACCATTCCGCTCGCCAGGCTCCAGACGTGGCTCGGCCACTGATGGGTGGTGTGACCTCAACATGGCTTCCCCCCCCGAGGTCCCCCCACTTCCTGGAGAGGTCCCGGCCCCCTCCAGCCCTGACCCAACCTGACCGGGCCAGCGGGAGCCCGTCAGAGGTGGGGGAGCAGCTGTCAGGAAGGAGCCCCCCACCGGGGAGCAGCCTGCGAGCATCCGGGACGCCGCTTCTGGGGTTCCTGGCGGGATCTGAGCCCCCGAGGCGGATTCCCGCCGTGCCCTCTCACATGCTGGGCAGCCGGCTTCCCACCGCAATCCTCTTCATCAAAAGTGCGCCGAGGGCCCTTGGGGGGACAGGACTGGGCCAAACGGGCCCCCACGGTGTCCTCTCAAAGTGCCACATGTGGCGACAGAAACAAGGATGAAGACTCTCCACGTGTGGACACACAGGATCGCCACGTGGAGACGCGGCCTGGCCAACCCTGCTGGGGACAAGCGGAGGACTCGGCCCGGGACCACCCCCTGCTCCCTCTGACATTGGGGGGTGAGGGGGGGACTCTTCCCAGGCAGAGCCCACACCCCGGGTGCTCCAGGCCACCATCCCCTGCCCCTCACCCCGGGGCCAGGAGCCAGACGGCCAGGGACAGCCCCGTGCCCCTCCAGCCCGCCCAAGTTAGGCAAACAGGCTGCCCCTGCCCAACCCTTCCTTCCCGTGGAAACCACAGTGAGGCTCCCGCCCCCGCTCACCGGCCCGCTGCTTCCCCGCGAGGGCATGTGCTGCGCCCCAAACTTCAGTGACCGGTCATCTCCTGATCTGCTGACCTCACCATGCGGGCAACAAATAAAAGCTAGATTTTATTTTATTTATTTTATTATTTTTTTAAGATTTTATTTATTTGACAGAGAGAACATGAGCAGGGGAGGCACAGAGGGAGAAGCAGGATTCCCTTCCCACGGAGCAGGGAGCCAGACGCAGGATTCGATCCCAGGATCCTGAGATCACGACCTGAGTGGAAGGCAGATGCTTCACTGGCCGAGTCATCCCCGCCCCCTGTACCCCAAAAGGAAGATTTTAAAACCCAGTGTGTGCAGGGCTGGCCCGACAATTCCTGCGTCCTGGGAGCTCGAGGTCAGGGCTCCAGGCTCCTCGTCCCTGACATGTGGCCCGCACTGCATCCGTGGGACCTGGGCCTGTGCCCTCGCTGGCTCCCCCACCCCAGGGCCCCACGGCCCACGTCCTCTCCTCATGGGGCAGCCTCCACCCCCCCACCCACTGGCCTCGGGGGCAGGACCCGTGAGGGGTCAGCTTCAGGCGTCCACAGAGACAGGCTGCCAGGGGGCAGGGGGGCTTCCTAAATACCCCCTGGGTCTGCCCCCTCCCCGGAGCCGCTGAGCGGCTGCGAGGGGGACGCCTGCCTCAGGACGGACCCCGGGACCAGGGAGGCAGCAGCATCGCCTGGGCCAGCCTGGCCGCCTGGGCTCGCTGCTGGAGCCTCGGGCTGGCCCGGGGTCCCGTCCGTCCCGTCTCGTCCCTCCGTCCGGTGTGGCGTCGCCCGTCTGCCTATGTTCCAGCTAGTGTGGCCGCAGCCCCGGGCAGCCTTAGCCCCGCGCTCCCTCGGGCCGTGCCGCCCTGGACCCAGCGGCCTGTGGCCCCCCGGTGTCCTCACCTGCCATCCTGTCCTGCCCCCTCCTCCCCTGATGCTGCGTGACTCAGCACCCCTAATCCCCAGAGCTCCGTCCTCCTGAGCGCCCGGGCTCCCTGCCCGTGCTGGAAGCCGGCGCCTGCATCTCCAGACTCCGTGTCGCTCATGCGGCGCTCCGACCTCCTGCGTCCACGCACCCGGTTCAGGGGCACCCTTGGGGCTCCCTGGGGTCGGAGGACTCGGCCCCCCTCCGCCTCCCCCGGCCCCAGCTGGCTGGCTCCCCACCGCATGGCCCGGGGACCATCTCCCAGAATGTGCCAGAACGGGAAGACAGCAGTGACAGAGGGAAGGGGTGAGAGACCCCAGCGTCTGCTTGCCTGGGCAAGGCCACTCCAGGGGGACATGGGGCCTCCCCAGGGGCAGGACAAGAAGGCAGACCTGGGGCACCCGGGGGGCTCACAGTTAAGCGTCGATTCTTGGTTTCGGCTCAGGTCACGATCTCAGGGTCATGGGATCGAGACCCGTGTCAGGCTCTGTGCTCAGCGAGGAGTCGGCTTGGGATTCTCAGTCTCCCTCTGCCACTCCCCCCACCGCGTGCTCTCGCTCTCTCTCTCTCTCTCTCTCTCTCTCTCTCGCTCTCTCTAAAGAAAAACAGAAGAGCAGGCCCAGAGGTTCCCCTTCCTAGGGGTTTTCCACAATCCTCAAGAGCAAAGAGCCGTGGCCTCAGGCAGGAGGGGTTGAGGTTCTTAGCTGGGGTCATGATGGGTCACGAAGATGCCCCCGGGGACCCCTGACTCCAGCGCAGGCAGGGCCACCCCACTCCACAGACCCGAAGGCGCAGCCCTGGACGCGGGCCGATGGGGATGGGACTTTGCCCTGTTGGTGTCCCTGGGGACGTCCCGGCCAGACACAGCTCCCAGGGAGCCAGCGTGTGTGGCGGCTTCGGTTTCCATGTGCGGATGTGACCTCAAAATGCTGGCAGCTCCCTTTCTGGTCTGAGTCCCCAGGACCTGCACCTGGGGCCCCAGGAGGGGTGGGAAGTGGATGACCCCAAGTGGAAGCCACACCCCAGCTCCGTGCTGTGGGATAATCCCCCAGGAGGGGGGGAGCTTGCAGCGCCCCTCGGAGCAGAGGCATTGTCTCCCCCGGAACCCCGGCCCCATAGCCTTCCTGGGGCAGCAGGTTCTGGGTTTGGCCCTGGACTGGGGCTCCCGCGAGTGGCAAGCCTGGGAGGCCGCGCAGCCAGACCCCTCACAGTCTGTCACCAGCGCAGCGATGTGGGCCAGGCCGCCCGGCACCCAGCTGGCACAGCACCCCTCCGCTGCCCCCTGCTCCTTCTCCGTCCTCCCCCAGGGGCGGCTACGTGGGCGCGGACGTTTGCCACACTCTTACGCGGTGGGGTGTTTGTCCTCGTGGGTGAAGTGCAGGGCACCGCGTGGAACAGAGTGTGCCGTTCTGCTGGACTTTGAGCCCACACGCCTTTTGAGGCACGTGGCTCTTTCGGTTGGGTTTTCGATCACATAATCCAGTAGGTTGGCCAGTGTCCCCGGCCCCTGCCTGGATACAGTCCGCGCCAAACCTCAGCGTGGGGACCTCGTCTGGAAACGGGGTCTTGGCAGGTGCAAGCAAGTTAAGAGGGGGCCTGGAAGGCAGACCGTGCCGCCGGTAAGCAGACCCTCCAGGACCAGCCAGGGAGGCGCGCTGGCCTTACTACGGGGGTGACTCCCCCTCCCAGGGAGGCTCAGCTGCACCAGCTAGCTGCAGGGCGGGTGGCTGGGGGGTGGGAGGTGGGGGGACAGCCTGGCCCGGCACCTCCCTCCGGGGCCTCCCCCCGTGGCTCCAGCAGAAGCAGGGCTGAGCCTGACCGCGGGGTGTGTGGTGGTGCAGGTGGTGCCGGAGGCTGTGGGCTCCAGGGACCCGAAGTGCAGGCCACAGCGTCAGGTGCCCACAGCCCCTGGGTGACAGTGACTGTGTGCCCGATTGGCCAAGGAGGTGGACTCGGGTGCCCCTTACCTGGAGGGAGAACGAGAAAGGCCAGGGCGCAAGATGATGGACAATCAGAAGCTAAGGAACAGCAAAGAGGAGGGAGGCGGGGCAGGGAAGCCATGGGTGCTCGAGGGGTGCGGGGGGAGGAACAAGGCCGCATGTGGGGGCTCCCACCCGCCTCCCCGGACGTGCCCCCTCCTGTAGCGAGCCTGCCCCCCGCCAGAAGCCCCGCCGGGTCCTCGCCAGCTGAGAACCCAGCCCTGATCCTCGCCGCTCAGACCCCATGTCCCCATCTGTAAAATCGGGGGATTTTGCTTCCGAGCCACCATGCCAGTCAGGCCGTGCGCCCCTGAGAAGCGTTTACGGGGAGCCCGCGGCCTCCTTTACAAGCGGGGAAATAGTGACGCGAAAGGTAACTGCTCGCCCGCCACCGGCCAAGCGAGCAGAGCCCGGCCTTCGGCAGAACCGTCTGGGTTTGTCCGTGTGCTAACGGCCCGGACGGAGCTGCAAGCCCTCCGTGTGCTGATAGCTGACCCCCCCGGAGCCGGGCCCCAAGGCAGGGGGCGCGGGGGACAGGAGGCCGCCTGGGCCTATCGTCCCGGGGTCTGGATGCCTTTCTAATTCAGGGCTTTCCTTAAATGGTCAAACGCGGCCTGGTGGCCACCGACCCCGTTATCAGCCCTGTGTTCGATCCCCTGCCACGTCCCGCTGTCCCCGGGGCACGTCTACAGGTGGGAAGGGCCGCTGTCCCCCAGCCCCGGGCGGCGCACGGCTGCACGACGTGGCCTGGGACGGAAACCGCTTCCTCTGAGCGCTCAGGGCCTGACCCCAGCCACGCAGGGCCCTGGAGCACACCCGGCCTGGCGGGGGGTGGGGTGGGGGGGACATGCCTGCTGGCAGCTCCAGCAAGTGACCAGACGTGTGCCCGTCACAGCGACAAAGTCACCTCCACGCCTGGGGCCCTGGGAAAGCAAGCACGTTTCTGAAATCAGGGAAGAGCCTGATTGGAAAGAGCAAGTGATCGATCTCAAGGGCTCGGAGCAGAGCCCGCGCAGGTGCGGCCAGTGTGAGGGGGACGGTCCCCCAGCAGCCCCCGTGGGGCGGTGACAGCGCAGCAGGGGAGGTGCCGACCGACACCGTGGGGCTGGGCCCGCGGAGCACTGGGTGTGGGTTTGCGTGTCCCTGGCCTCAGACGGTGCCGTCCCCCATCCTGCCCTCAACGACCCTCCTCTCTCAAGTGTCCCCGTGACGGCGCCGTCCATGCTGGACCTGCACACAGGCCGCCTCCCGGCTCTGGGGGGAGAAGGGGCCACATGGAGCCCCCGCCCCGGCTGGCCGTCAGGGGGTCCCGTCTCAGCAGGGCGCTCCCTGAGCTACGAGGGGCCCAAGTGTGGCCGGGACGGGACACCCCAGGCGCCCAGGGGGCTTAACGAACAGGGAAAGTAGGTCCCTATATTTATTTTTGTTAATATTTTATTTATTCTTGAGAGGCAGAGAGAGAGGCGGAGACACAGAGGGAGAAGCAGGCTCCCTGTGGGGGGCCCAACGCGGAACTCGATCCCAGGTCATGCCCTGAGCTGAAGGCAGATGCTCCACCACTGAGCCACCCGGGGGCCCCTAAGGTAGGTCCTTTTATGGGAGCTCAGGGGACCTCAATCCTGAGGAAGAGGTCAAGGTGCCCCCCATCCGGGTCACCCAAGGCCGGTTCAGAGCATCACCACAGCGGCAGGATCCTGGCTCCGAGGGAGCCCCTAACGCCGCCCTGCCCGTCTGCCTCTGCTGCTCCTCCCCGGCACCCCTCCGTCTCTCTCATGGCCCCCGACTCCCACTGGTGACCCCATCTCTACCCCTGAAGGGGAAGGTGTAGGCGTCTGGCTTCACATCACCGTGGGACGGGTTGCCCCGCACCCCCCACCTGTTGCCGTGAGTGTTGGGGGTACTGCCGAGCCTGGAATTCAAAGCCCGTCCGTCTGCAGTGGTGCCACCGGCCACCTGCCCCTCGTTCAGCCCCTGGCCTGTGCAAGACGAAGGTCCATGGGAATGAGCCGCCCCCACCCACCTGCACATCCGGTCGCCCGCCCACCTCCCCCCACCCCCTGCCATCCGCCCTCCAATCTGGGGCATGTGCCGTGGCCAGGGATGGGGAGAAGAGGGGCTGCATCGGGTGCCCTGGGGCCTCGCTCTACCCTCCCAGGAAGCCCTGGGAGTGCACCTGTGCAGAGCCCCGACTCGTGCCGTGCTAACTCTCTTGAGGTGCACCCTCCTTTCTGAAGAGGGCCTCCTGCCCAAGCCCCCGGGAGGAGGCCGCATCAGCCAGCTCCGAGGCACACTCCTGAAACAGCCCGTGCCCCATCTGCTGAGTCTGCCCCCAAGCTCATTCCCCTGGCCAGGGCAGCCCGCTGGGTCTTGACCCTTTACTTTCTGGAAGCATCTTCCCAGTGGGGAGGACAGAGAAAGCCGCGTTGGTCATCAAAGTATTAAGAAGGGAGAGGCCTCGGGACCGCCAGGGCTCGGAGGCTGGCCGGGCCTCGAGGGGGTGGACGTCCTTGCAGGTGTCCTCGCTCCATCTGCAGTGCCAGGCGCCAGGAGCCAATAGTCGGGCCACCTTGTGCCAAGCGCTGAGCTAGAGGTGGGGGGCGTCCTGGGAGAGCCTAGACACCCCGTGTCCTCCAGGAGCCTCAGCCCAGGAGAGGACACATGGGGGCCTTAGCTCCAAGCACGGGCTCCCGGCTGAGGACTAGGCCACGGCCCAACACCACCCAGCAGGTCTCCGCACGGGCCGCCCTGAGCCCCCACCTCGCCTCCCTGGCCCTCGTGCCCAGCCTAGGGCCTGCACGTGGGGGTCCCTCCTGGGACCTGCATCATGGCTGGAAGGAAGGGGGTGCCCGGGGGCCAGAGGCAGGAGCTGGAGAGAACTGGTAAGTGGCTATGTTGTCTGCTGCCCGTGGCACAAGCTCATCTCGGGCACGTCCTTAAACACGTGTGTCCCGGGAGCGCGATGGACACCATCCCAGGGCCCGAAACACAAACCGTACCAAGCGGAACCAAGAATGCTTGATGGGCACACACGCCAGGCACGTGTTTCGAGTCTCCTCCAGGCAGGAAGGGTCCCCGAGCCCCGCCTGGCCCTGGCCCGGCTCCCAGGAGAGGCGTCCCCTCCCAGCGACTCAGCGCCTCTCGTGGGCCATCCTGAATTGGTGGGGAGCGCATGGGGCAGGGGGTTCTGGCCCCACCCTGTGACCGGGGCCTAGGGCCGTGCTGCTGGGCGCACAGGGGCGTGCTGGCGAAGGGGGTCTGCAAACAGCACCGTCCCTCGGCCGAGGCGGGTGCTCTCAGGAGCAGGGGAGCGCCCCAGGAAGCAGCCAGCACCCTGAGGCCGTGTGCACCCCCTCCCCCGGTGTGGGAGTCCCCCCTTCTGGCCGGGACCTGAGCAGACCTGAGCGGGACCCCGGCAGAGGCTACGGGGACCCACCGGGGCGGGGTGGCCTGCTTGCTGATGATTCCCTGCAGGTGCCCGACAGGGACACAGAGCGGAGTTGAGGTGTCCGGGGGGCTCCCTGCCTTGACACCCCGGGGAGACGAGCGGAACCTGCTGAGGCTCCCGTGACGCGCGGAGCCACGAGGTATTCAGAGCCTTTCCCTGGTGACCCTCCCGCCACAGGCTCAGCAATTGCCAATTTTTCCGTCAGGGCTTCCCAGTCAGACACGCGGCGCTGCTGGAAGTGGCCCCGGGCCTGACGTCAGCCGTTGGCTCAACACGTGGGGCCGCTCGGTTGCGCGTGGCCCTGCGCCCGATGCTCCCGGTGCAGGTCCCCGCGGAGAGTCAGGGTCTGGCACTCCTTGGCTTGGGGGGCCCAGCTCTGCTCGGAGAGGGAGGGGGTTTGGGGTGCCCCATGCCTCGCCACCCAGCCCGGGGGTCCCCCGCACACGTGCACATGGCGCCAGTCTCTAGGCAAGTCTTGAGACCCCCAGCTCCGGGACCAAGGACTCGGCCCTCCAGACGCCCTGCGGGGGGACCCACACTGTCGACACCCCAGCCCTGCGGCTGGCCTCCCTCCTGACACTCCCCTCGCCCTAAAACCCTGTGTCAGTGGTTGCTGGCTGCATGGACGCACCCCTCCTTTCCGTCTACATCTGGAAGTGAGCCAACGAGGGCGCCGACCTCCAACCTCAGCCTTCAGGGTGTGTCTTGAAGGGTTTTTCCCAAATTAAAAAATAAAGTATAAGCATTTAAGGGTTACTTTATATTCTTGAGATTTTTTTTTTTTGAGAGAGAGAAGGGGGAGGGGCAGAGGGAGAAGCAGTCTCCCCGCTGAGCAGGGAGCCCGATGTGGGGCTCGATCCCAGGGCCCGAGGTCATGACCTGAGCCAAAACCAAGAGCTGGATGCTTAGCCAGAGGAGCCCCTCGGGTGCCCCAATATTTGACATTTACAACAAGTAACTGCTAACAGCAGATAAACTGAGTTTACTTGTTTTTTATTCTAAAAGGCACACTTTCCCCGGAGCCCTGGAACATTTGGGGTGCTGGTGGGACACTTGGGACAGAGGGGCCGATGGGCCTCGGGGCCGCGGGCAGGAGGGAGGGCAGGGAGGCTGGTCAGGGGCCTCGGGCCCCCCAGCGGCACCACTGACCGCTCCCAGGGGCCACGGCCACTTGCGTCCACCGAGGCCGCTCCCCGCACGCTCGCACCCTGCCCTCTGTATGGGGTCGTCCCATTTCCAGGGTTGAAGAAGGGATTCCTGGACCCACTTCACAGCCGGAGACACTGGGGTACAGGCCAGGTTCTTGCAGTGACCCAGGTCCCATGAGCAGTCAGTGGGGGCCGTTCCTCTCCCCTCTCCCGAGTCCCCCCAGCCCACGTCCCCGCAGGCCTCCTCCTACACCCCGGCCCCGGCCCCGCCTCCCTTCCCCCTCCACGCCTCGCACCCTGAGCTCTGGACTGACCTTCAAAGTGGAGGCAACTGTTTAAATATTAAATGGTCCTTGGAACACCCGGGCTTCCATTAAGACTGAATCAAAAGAGAAAAATAGGCATTTTAAAGATCGCTGCAGTTCTGAAAAGCCGAATTATCGATGTCTGTGTTCCGGGGCTGCATCCACGTCCTCCTCCCGTTGGCCGCGGGCGCCTGGCGGCAGGGCTGCTCCTGGGTGCTCCTCTCGGGGCGTTCGGGGCGCCCTGGCTGGGAGCGAGCGCGGGCAGGGAGGGGACACGCACCAGGCCCGAGGGGCGTCCAGCCGGCCTGCCTGTGACAGGCCTGGGGTCCCGATGTGCGGAGCGACGGTGCTGCCCGGGAGGGCCCAGGGTCCCCGCCATGCCTCCTCGGTCACCCAGGCCAGGAGCGGCTGGGAGCAGCAGGCCAGCGTCCTGCGTGGGGAGGGCCGTGGCCGCTCCGAGCACCCTCTGTCCTCTGCCAGCTGCAGGCCTCGCGCTTTCTGCACAGAAACGAGAATTTCCTTCATGAGGGACGTTTTGCTTAGAAAGTCCCCTAAAGGATGTCGGAGGAGGGTCCTGCACCCGGCCCTGCCCGACGGCTTCACCGCCTTCTGTCTCAGGTGCTGAAACAGGCCCAGGTGACGGCGCCAGAGGACAGGCCAGTGCCCTGCAGGTGCCCGTCGGCGCCCATCCAGGCCCGGGCTGTGAGCAGCCTCAGGGAGCCGCATGGCTGCCACGTGCCATGTCCCACCGCATGCGAGCCAGGGAGAGACGCAAGGACACAGGCCCAGCCGCCAGCTGGGAGGGACACCAGGATGGAGAGGACGCCTCCCTGTCCCACTGGCCACACCGGGGTCGCAGTCACCGGGAGGCCTGGCTGGAGAGGTGTCCCGGGCCTCGGACCTCATGACACCTGTGCCCTCGGCCTCCAGCGTCTCAGACGCACCCAGCACGTTGCGCCTGGCCATTCCTTGTCCCGTGAGTGACAAGCCCCCCTCTGTCTTCCATCTGGCCGCCTCTCCTTCCCTGAGCTCGGGACCCGGGGGCAGGTGGCCTGGCACCTCCTAAGGTCCTCTTGTCAGCTCCTCTTCTGTCCCTCGCAGAAGGATGTCCCTTCCCCAGACTGCTCCACCCAGGGGCTTCTGGGACCAGCTTCCGAGGCATCCCTGACCCTCCTGGGCACAGGGCAGCCAATCCCCAGGGCCTCCCAGCCAGAGGGAGGAGGCGTCCAGCCCACAGCCCTGAGTAGACTCTGTCCGGGGTGTGGGCAACCAGGATGCATCACTGGGCCGCGACTCTAGCCTGACCCCTATCGCCCAGCCCAGAGTGGCCAGACGTGACTCTGGGGCTCATCCAGGTCATGGGGCCGGGGCTCCAGGGCATGTCCACTGTGACCTAGTCGTGCACTGAGCCAGCCTGCTCACCCTCCCTGTGGCTGTGGCAACAAAGAAGATGCTTCTTTGTCCCCTCTAGGCCTTAAATAACTGGGTGACCCCAGATAGTTTAGGCTTGCTGGTCCAGCTAAGTCCACACCCTGCATATTCCTCCCCTCTACTGGGGTCAGTGGGCCCCCCAAACATCCCACCAATACCGCTCCACCACCGCCAACAACACCTACACCAACACCAACGAATCTACATCATCAGCACCAGCAGCAACATTTTGCCAACATCGCGGCCACCATTAACCCCACTGCCATTGACACCGCTGCCATCGCCACAACCCTCAGCTCCGGCAAGGGAAGCCTGGCACGCAGAAGTGCCCACCATTCATTCTCTCATTTGATACACGGGGTCTGCCTTCATTTGCAAGTCTTCGCGGCCAACAGCTAGCTCTACCACAGAGGCTCCAGACGGGCACCCAGCCCAGGAGCTGTGGGGAGCCCCAGGGAGCCAAGGGCCCAACCACACCCTGGCAAGCAAGAGGGTGACAAAGAAGGCTCCCTCCCTCCCGCTGCCTCGCAGGTTGGAAAGGCAGTGAGTCAGGAAGGGCTATGCTGTGCCCTCAGCTGTGTCGCTTCCTAACGCTCCTCCAGTCACTGCATTCTTCTGGCCAGCAGCCACCTGAGTGCCATGGCTTATCCCCCGGTGCCCCGGGGCCATCCCCACCTGCCACACACACAACATGCATGCAACAGCCCCAAGACACACACACACACACAAGATATGCACAACTCACACACACCACCCAGCACACACGTGCACACGTGTGCTATGATATTTTGTGCCTATGTGAATTGTGTTGTACTCTGATAAGCTGTCCTGTTGAGGCCTAGGACTAAGGCCATCCCCTCTGCAGGGATGGAACACACTGGCTCCACTGGCCAGAGGAGGGAGTTTTATCTGTCAGCCCTGGAGGAGCTGCAGACCCTGGAGAAGCTGCTGGCCCTGGAGAAGCTGTGACCCTAGAGAAGCTGTTGGCCCTGGAGAAGCTGTTAGCCCTGGAGAACCTACTGGCCCTGGAGTAGCTGTAGACCCTGGAGTAGCTGCTGGCCCTGGAGTAGCTGTGGCTCTGGAGAAGTTGTAGGCCCTGGAGAAGCTGCAGACCCTGGAGAAGTTGCAGACCCTGGAGAAACTACAGGCCCTGGAGTAGCTGCTGGCACTGGAGAAGCTACAGACCCTGGAGAAGCTGCAGATCCTGGAAAAGCTGCAGGCCCTGGAGAAGTTGCAGACTCTGAAGAAGTGGCAGACCCTGGAGTAGCTGCTGCCCCTGGAGAAGCTGCTGGCTCTGGAGTAGCTGCAGACCCTGGAGTAGCTGCTGCCCCTGGAGAAGCTTCAGACCCTGGAGAAGCTGCCACCTCTCACCCTTTCCCGTCTATCCTAGGAGGCTGAGACCTCTCCAGGTATAAACCTCCTTGAATGGTAAGCAGAAAATCACCCCAGGCACTAACTCCACCGCCTGAGGACAATCAGGACTGGTTTGTACAGACTCACGTGCAAGAGAGAAAAGCAGCGAAGCAGCCCGGCCTGCCACACCCTCGCCTGGCTCCAGGGTTTCATGCACCACATCCTCTGAAAAGAATCGGGTGGGTTGAGGGTGTGTGATTCCAGCTCTGTGACATTCTGGAAAAGGCAAAGCACAGGAGACAGCAAACAGATCAGGAGCTGCGCGGTGGGGGAGGGAGGGGCGGCTCCGTGGAGCACAGGCCTGGGGGGCAGGGCCTCCTCCGTATGATTCTGGAATGGGGCACACACGTCAGCCTTCATTTGTCAATATGGCCCGAGGAATGAACCCCGCGGGAACCGTGGCTTCGTAAGAGCGCACAGACCCGGGCTCAGGGATTGTGAGGAGCAAGGTGGGGCCCACAGGGGAGGGGTGGGGACTGCACTTTCCCATCAGATCCTCTGCAAAGGGAAATTCCTATAAAAGGAACTAAGTCCATTACTTTGAAGGAGGAGGAGGAGAACCAGGCTGCAGCCCGGCCACCCGCTGCCCCCACCCCACCGAAAACCTCCTGCACCCCCACAGACACAGCCCACCCCTGGGAGCCTGGGCTCAGTGCAGCGGAGACGCCAGCCTGTGAGCAGCCCAGCTCTAAGGAGCCGCCTGGCACAGTCCCGGCAGGCGGGCAGGCGTCCCGGGGACTCCAGGCTGGGCCTGGGCAGCCTGCCAGGCCGGGGCCCGCACGTGCACACACGTTTGCTTTGACAAATCGCCGCGTGGCTCCGTGGTGTCAGATCCTTGATGTACGGGGCGCGGAAGACTCCGGCTCCTACAGCTGGGCCCTTCCGTGATGCGCAGTGTTCGGGGCCTCGTGGGTAAGCCCCGCTCCAGGCTGTGTGCCGCCAACCAGGGCCGCGAGCTCCAAGGGGAGGCGCCGTGTGCCCCAGGCCTGCCCGCGGGAGCCCTGTGCCTGCAGTCCTGCTGACTGAGCCTATAGCCCGTGCCCACCACCGCCCCACCCACAGCCACCCTCGGCCTCGGCTCTTGGTAGCGGGGCCTGGGTCAGAAGACCTCCCTCTAGTGTGCCTAAGGCCCATCTTCCTGAGTAAGTTCATTTTCCTAAGCAAACAGTCCCCACTCCCAAACCTATTCTCTCTAGATCATTCCTTCAGCCAGCTTTTTCTCAACCAGGATTCCAGGACAGAAGGAGGCCCCTACAAAGAAATGACCTGAGTGGCCATGTTCTGGATTCACCCAGGGTGGTGGGGGACCCCCCACGGGGGCAGACGGTAACGCACGGGGGGGTCTCAGGGCCCGGGCTCTGCTCTCTCTTGGATCTCAGCGCAAGGACCTCCCACTCACCCTCGCCGCAAGAACTGCCCACAGGCCCCACCTCCAGACACCGTCCCGTTGGGACTGGGGTCTCCACGTGAGAAT